TTAGACGTACAGTTAGTGTAGCACTAGGGGCTGAATCAGCCTGCCTTCGGTATTAAACCTCCCTGACCTAAATGGGCTGAAGTATTCCCAGAAGCATCCAAGCTCCTCAGTAAGAAGTTTACTGCAATCCAGATAAAGCAGAAGGGCCACACTAGCCTAAAGAACCTAAAATCTTCAGGATTAGTTGTTGCAAAGACTTATTAACCAGGCAATAAAATGAAAATTATTCCTTCTGGCTTTATTGGTGCACAATGTCTGTTTTACATTCATACAGTTTCTGTCCTATCCTTGGCAGTTGTCGTCTTTGTTGTATTCTTACAAAGGAAGAAATATCAAAACATTAATTTAAGCTGTCACAATGCAAAGGGCTGACAGTCATATAAAGAATTATCATTAAGGCAGAGAATGGAGACAAGTTAGCAAAGGAAAATTAAAGTGACTAGCTAAACAGAACCAAACTTCTTGAAGAATCTAGGATATTGCCATGACAATTCGAATTGCTCCAACTTTTTCTTTTTGTGTTTTTCAGCACTTTCCTACACAGTCTATTATCAGTCTGATGGGGAAATGAAAAAGAAATCACTTCATATATAAGCCAGTTTTAGTGAAATATGTATTTCAAAAGAGAAGATTCATCCTGTACGATTTTGTGCAATAAGATAAATTGCAACTAACATCAATCTTTGTAATTTTCCATAATTGTAGAAGTCAGACTGACCAAGATTACAGCCTGTCTAACCCTTCTTACTAATGCATACAACATAGAAATGTTTCTTTGTCCTCTTCTGGGCTTTTTTTGGAAAACAAAAATGATTCTATTCTAGCAAACAATAAGATTCCTGCAGGTGGTGGGTCAGGTTCTCAAAATGCTTTGTATATTCCTAAGGATCATTTTGATCATTTTACAAATAAGAAAAGGAAGAGAAAATAACCACTTCACTCTTGTGTTAGACTTTTCAACAATAGCTCTTGGAACTTCTTACTATGGTTCTGAAGAAAGTGAGAGCACAAGAATCTCAAGGTGTGTGTCCATGCTCAGCAAGCTGGACCCCTGCAGCCCGAGTAGCTTACTTTCTCCAGTGAACCAAACCAATGGATTCTTTTTCAAAGACAAGTTTTCAGCAGGGAGCACTACCCTTAGTCTGGTGCTGTCCTCTCATTATATGCTGCCTGGGTAAGAGGAGGATACCAAGAATTTAATGCAAAGAATTGATGAAACTCCATCTCCCATCTTCCACACAAATGTCTACTGCCTTCTAGCTATAGTATCTGCAGTGCAAATTAAGTCAGTTAGCATTGCAGTGGCTAACCGATCAGACTACTAATGAAGCATGAGTCCACAAGATTGCTTTGTACCGTAAAAAATGATAATTAATTCTCATACACATAGGCAATCATTGAGTTAGTTCAGTTAGCACATCAAAAACAGATGAAAACACCAAAGGCTGAGCAGATCAGTCTTCCCAAGGTAGATGAATGAGAGGCTTACATGACTAATGCCAACAGGACAGAGGCGCAAAACTCCCTGTGGATGTAAGGACATAAGATCCTTTCCACTTGTTCATCATTCTTATGTGCCTTTAAGTGCTATAATCCTGGAATTAGAAAAGCAGAGTGTTTAGAAACACCACAGTAGGTAGCCTTGAGGTTGTGTGTACATTCAGCGGCAGTAGGTGCTCGATTCAATAAACACCAAGACCAACCCGCCAGCATTGCCAGCCAGAGCTGTCTGGCCAAGGCCTGGTGCATCCTCACAGGGCCAGACCCTCTGCACAGTGAAGTCACACCTCAAACGTCTGCACAGATCACAAGAGGAAAAAAAAAAAACAGGGAAGCACTGCAAATCACTATTATTCTCCAAATAATTCAAATGTACATTGTGACTTGGGAAAGCAGACAAGAAAACACTTAGAAACATAATAAGTGTGAATTGCTGCAGTCACACCAAATGTGGCTTCACTCCCCTAATTGTATCAATTATTTTTTATGATTGTGATCTCAAAGATGTTAAGTTTTGCTAAGAAGATGTATTTGCAAATCGCTTTGATTACTATCTGTGAATAGCATGAATGTGTTTAAGAGCTTCTGCATATTGGCTTTGGCCTTCTAACCCCTCTTTGCAGTGTCCTAGATCAGCTGGCAGAACATTAGGCACTTTAGACACTCCTACCTGAAGCATTCAGACAGTCCTGGAATTATTTGGGCTACTCAAACGGAGAGCCAGTGTATAAGTTGTCCTTTTACTGATCTCAGGGCTTTTATGACTGCCTTTGCTTTTCACATTTCTCTCTCTCTCTCTCTCTCTTTCATTTTTTAATCAGATATGTTTTAGTGTGAGGAAGAATTTGACTATTTACTATTGTATTCTAAGAAATAAGCCTACTAGACCAAACATTCAAGGTAATTTCATTTTTGCAATAGAAGGTATAATTGAAGAATCATATTTTCAATGGAAGATGCTATCTAAAACTAGTCACTGGTATAAACCCTGGTCAACTATATACAATCCTCTTTAATATGGCCTTTGATAGTATTTGGTTAGCACTCTAGTGCAAAGCCTCAAAAAGGGCGTTGAATGAAATTAGTTTCCAAAAGAACTGGAATAGTAACAGAAGTCTCTTTCTCTGAATTAATGACAATCTTAAAATCTCAACTGCTTTGAAACAGCACATTAATCCACAATGAAAATGTTTGCATAGCATTTAAAAATTACAAACAGGATTAACAAAGAACTTTCCAAGGACAAGATATATTTGATTTGATTTTAAGACCGAAAGGAAAGTTCAGTGCCTTAACTTTTTTGTTTTTCCAAAAGAGGATAGACAGAGAAGTTATAACGAGATGAGGGAAAAAAAAAACAATGCTCCCTTCTTCTCCCCCAAACACCAATTTGAATATTGCAAAGTTTATTTAGTAACCATATATAACCATCAGAAGTATAAATCTAACTGCTTATTGATGTAGCATGATTGGCAATAGGTCTGTAACAGCATTATCAATAATCACTCTTTCCAGCCACTGCTGTAAGACAGCCTGAGTCTGTAAGAGCCTCCTGTACCCCAGAGCTCTCCAGTGCTCATAACAAGATCAATAGCAGCAACTTAACCGGCCCTAGGAGTAGGATCTGTGAGCAAGCACTTTTGGATAGTTTTTAGTTCTGCAGCTCTACAGCCTATAAAGGGGAACACCTAGTTCACCACCTTAACAATTTTGCGCCAAAGGAAGGGGAGGTGCTTTCAGGGCAAAAAGCCATCCCCTCTACCTCAGGCCCCTGTTTTGTAATGAGATGAATCAACTCCTCTATCCGTTGACTGCAGGAGAAGATTAAGCAACAAGCTTGGACTAGATAATCAAGCTTCAGAAGGCTAAAATTTAACTAGGGTAATCCTACCCAAAATATTTTGGGGCCTGGTCTTCAGCTAATCTACGTACACCTAGCCTATTCCTCTTGATGAAATGCATGCTGGTTTCCCCTTTATAAGACACGCAGCATTCTGGATCCAGAAAGCAATGGGAGAAAATCTGTAGGACAGAAACAGAGAACACAAGGCTGCCAAAAGAGAAGTAACAACAGCCTTAACTGCACCATCACGAAGATGCTGGTCCCACCTGGAGAGCACTTTTCTCTCTGAGGCTTTTCACCAGCTTCTCATTTCTCCTTCATGTTCCCTTTTGGACTGAGTGGAGCTCTAACACCAGACCTGAACTTACTATCACTGTTCAAAGAGAGATTCAGTGCTGCAAAGTGCGAGTGAAGGACAGAGGCAGACTGGAGTAAAGGTGAGCCTCGGGAAGACAAAACAGAGCATCATCTACAGATTGTCATGTCTGAAAGGTATGGGCTTAATACAGCTCATCCTCATACAGAAGACACAATTTCTTCCCTCACACCAGTCTCCGGCTCCATTTCTGCAGCAAGTCAGGACTGGCCTGGTGACCGCACTGCTGAATGCGAGATGAAGCCTTCCTGCCCTCTCTGTCCTGTTCCTCACTTTTAAACTTGCACATCAGCACACACATCTCAGCACCTGCACCGGGGGACCCTGTTTCTAAAAGTGAATTTAGAATGAGATGAAGAGGGATTGTTTTGGGAGCAAAGAGCAAACCTCCGCTAAGCCTTAAAACCTGTTCTTAGTAGGCTCTTTGATTGCTCCAGGGGTGTATATACTCACATGTATGTACTTCTGCAATAAAAAAAGTGCAGCAAAAATGATTAAACACATGAGGAAAGAGGCTTCCATCTAAAAGGTGATTAAAAAGACTAGCATTGTTTAGTTTGCAAAACACAAGAGTAAAAGATGATATAACAGAAGCAAGGAGAAGGGGCTATTTATTCTCTTTTCTCTCAAGAACAAATATGCATGGAAAGGTGAAGGAAAAATTCTGAAAACATTTCTGCAGCCTATAATCAACCCTGCAACTCATTGCTGCAGGATATTAGGCAAATTTTTCAGAAATATTTCTAAATGCGTTAGACACTGCAAATAATAATAATCCTCAGTTACCTAGGTGAAGGAAAAGCAAAACCAAACAATCCTCCCAATCCGTAAGGACGGTTAGTCCCTGTCCTTGTGCTTAGATTGGTTAGAGATGGAATTTTTGTCTCCAGAGGGACCGCATTATTTATTTATCAAGTGCATGATGTGGGAGTACTCGTTTCCTTCAAGCAGGAGGCTCTGTAGAAGGCAATTAAAAGGGTCAGTAAATGCAGCTGTATGAAGTCATTGCCAACAGATTTTTCCCAGAATACATAACCTTAGTACTGGTCAAGTGGCTCAGGTTTAGTTACTTTGTTCTCAGCTGGTTATTCTCACCAATGAACTTCAACTACAGCTAGGTAACAGTCAAGGCTGTGAACAAAAATGGAATGAAATATATTCACGTCCTTGAAAAGTTCTTCGCTAACGCTGCTTGTTTCTATGCACTTGTAAACATTAAGTAAATATTTTCACTGTGGTATAGCCTATTTTGAGTTTAAAAGAGAAACTGTTGTACCTCCAGTATTACTCCAAGTTAGCAGTGGGTGGAGTCTGAATTTTAACGGTCTTCTCAGCATCAACCAGTGCTGAAAGTAGCCTCGGAGACAGCGGCTCAGGCGCTGATGGGACCTGGCAGTCCTGTGCCGCGCTGCTGGTGCGGCTGGAGGCTGCGCTCCCCGCAGCCCGCGCGTCCTCAGTTTGCGCTGTCAGATCCGGAACGCGCTGGGAAGCAGGGAAGGTGCTGCTGCGAACAGAATTAGTACCTGCTTAAAATGTACATGTATACGGAGAACAAACTGTCTTTTTAAAAGCATTTTAAATGCTACTTTTGGCTTGTGAATAGTTTTCTTGCAACTGTCAGGCCATCTGCTTGGAGAGGGGTCTGTACAGTCATGAAAAGGATCTTAAAATATACTCTCCTCATAAACATCTTTTGTTTGGAAAATCCACATGCATCACATAATGCAGTAAATGGCAGACCAGGCTGAAGTGAAACATTTTTAAATGCCGAGGATGCAACCTTGGATACAGCTCCCCCTGCCCCCCGCCTCCCCTCTATTAATAAGCACGCTTTAAATGCACACTTAGACACATTCTCTTACAGACTCAGATTGGCAGCACCCACCTGCTGGGAAACATACTAAGATAACTTCCTTGGGTACATCCAAAATACCAAACGGGGTTGTGGGCAGAAAAGAAACAGGCTTCTGCAAAGCAGTTCTCTCAGAGATTATATCATTCTCCCAGCCAATTTTCTGCCTACACTGCACCATTTTGTATGGGGGGTGTGTGCTGGTGAAAAAAAATAGCATACGTCCGTGTGTATACAATCAAAAAAAGGCCAAATTAAGGGCGTGCAAGCGTATCTAATTCTAGCATTTCCTAACTTTTGGGAGCTTAGTTTTTCAGAACTGCTCGGTACGTGAATATATACAACACATACATATGCACATAAACATTTATTTTCTTTGCATGCTTAGAATATAAAATTGTGTGTATGAGAACAGTGTTATGCTTTCTTTACATTTCTTTTCTATTTATTTTCATCATTCTTTGGTCATTTTTTGTTTACCTGCTTTTTGTTATTCTAATGTAAGTTCAAATATACAAAATGCTAATTTTCTTTTACATAAAAATGTAATAAAACTTTCTGGCTTTCTTTATAAACAAATTTCAGCAGGAATGTTGATGGGATGCTGTATAACAAGTAAAGAAGAAATACTGTTTAATTATCTTCCATATAAAATCCAATAAAACGTTCTGGCTTTTCTTATTTTTCTGTACTGGGGATTAACATCAGCGTCTTTGTGATGAGAAATCTGCATTCATGGCTCCTCTATTTAGATTTAAATAGGAATTATAGTTCTTGGCAGAAAGGGATCTGTCAAATATCACAGCATTTGTGGCAGGTGGTCACTGCATTGCTTAGTACAGACACTGCCTGCTTAACCATAGCCTGAAGTAAACATCAAAAGTCAATTATTCTCTTTGTAAATATTTTATTTATATTTTGGAGGCTAACAAACATCTTTTCAGTGCTTGGCTGAGACCTTCCTTCATGGATCGGAATCCTACTGAACCTGCATTCGGGTGGCTGAAAACGTGTTCAGCAATCCTGGGATACCAGTGTAGCTACCAGTGTATATTAGGCTTCATAACACAATCCTCTGCTTGGAAACCTTTAATGACTTGGCTGGGTTGAAGTGGACAGAGCTAAAACTTGTCATGGTTGTTATCATTGCAGCTGCCAATTAGTATGACAATCATGTATTATTTTGCCAAAATCCCTTTCCTCAGTTAAACTGTATTCTGAATATAAATACTGCATAAGAAAAAAAAAAAAAACCAAACAAAAAACAAAACAACCAAACCCAACAGTGTCTATTTCCTTGGATTTAACATTTTGGGGGTGGGAAAGCAGGAGGCCTGGTTTAACAGCAAGATGAATGTGTGCATAGCAGCCCTGCAGAGGTAACTTGAATGCACACTGAGTAGCAAATGTGGAACAAGAGCTGAGCTCTGAGGGTCAAATGCCTAGAAGAAGTGTCTTGTTGCAGGGTAAACCTACTAAAATAAAATGACAGCGTCTGGCAACAGTTACACATACATGGCAGAATCTGTCCCCAAACCACTGTTTTTGGGAAAACATCTAAAGATGTTGCAACACATTTTAAATCCTTATTTGAACCCTAGCTGAACTCTTTGGACCATTAACTAATCAGATCATCTCATTTAAACAATGTTATAAAAATAATCAAGTACTTCTGCCTACATGAATATATGTTGAATGTATCTACCTTAAAGAACCAGGATTTTTCTTGGGTGCTTACTCCTGACATTCAGGAAACAGAAGGAGTACAAAACGTTAAGGAGAAGCAGAATTCTCTGAGATGGGGCTGCGGGTAATTTTCCCTGTAAGTCTGTTTGGTGGTAAGTTAATTGATTCCCATATCACCGAAACTGCAATGTACTAAAGCACTGGGTGCTCGTTTTCCTTCGCTATTTGACTGGCAAAGGCCATCTGTTCTACCCCATCCATCCACATGCACAGTGTCTATTGTTGTCAACAGGATTCACACACACGTGGATCAAGGCAAGCATGTGCCTCTAACTGTTTTGATCCGTAGAACATGGATTTTTCATTTTCTTTGTTTCTTTGTGCTCACCCAGTAATAATACTTGTCATCTGAGAATTCATATTGATCTTGTCATTGCCTTAAAATTGGATGACAATTACTATCTTTGTCAAAATTCGATCTGATGAAATGGCTCCAATTAGGAAGGAAAAAGAAGGAATCCATCACAGCAGGGAGCATTGCATTTGGCTTTAAAGTAGGGAAGCTTCTCTTAAAGGGGTACTGTTGGAAGAAGAAAATGGGAACAAGTATAACGGAGATTAGGACGTGAGGCTCAAAATCCACAGAAATTAGCTATATGTGAAGTGAATAGCCATTTAGTTTTTGCAGTCCATATCTGTCTGCAAATCTGAGTAGGAGCTCCTCTGACAATAAATGCCAGTAACTGTTGTTTTCATTTTCTGGTCTGGTCAGACACACAGCAGCAGTTGACGCCAGCCTTCGTGCATTTTCAAATCCAATTCTGATCATCTGTATAATTATAATACATTATTGGGAGTAGATTTGCTGAAGTTCATGAGATGGTTACAGCATAAATTACATCATGTTTCCACATACTGATCCCACCTTGAAACTAAATGTAAAGAGGCAGTGAAAGAATTAAAAACAAAACAGTGACTGCACTTCCATTGCTACTAACATTGGCACTAAAGCAAACAACTTATCCCTGCTAATTACAAATAAAATTGTGCTAATTACAGATTTTTTGGTTTATAAATCAGCCCTAAAATTTAGCATGTGCGTTTGTGTTTGTGCAGGGGTGGGGGAATCTTTTTCCAAAACAAAGATGTTTGTTTCATATTGAGTGAATGTTTTATTCAATTAAAAAAACTGTCAGTGTTTTGCTTCCAAGCAGGAAATGAAGGGCCAGATTCACTGCTGGTCTGTAATTCTGGTGAGGCCTAACCTGGGAGCTGGGAGCTGTATGTTAGTGCTCAGCTCTGCCTGAAGGACTGGAAGCCTCCAACCACATCTCAACTCAAGGGTATTTTTGTGGGCGTTTCTCAGAATTGGGCCACTAAATGGTGTTTCCTTACAAATAAAAGTGTGGCATGAACTGAGCTTTTGGAGTTGTACGATTATGTGAGCTCCTGAACACGACACCACACAGTTTACCTCCCTGAAAAATCACATTTTCTTAACTACATGGAAAAGCTCCACAAGAGACTGAGGGAACCCAACAAAGCATACCACTCTTTTAGCAGGTGGTTACTTTCCAGGCTAAAAATGTAGGATTAGTGTGATGCAAAGATGAGTCACCACACCTCATACAGCAGCAGGCTCTTTGGTAAAAGAAGGTGGGTGAGCTGGTGCTAACAGGTCTTCCTCATCAAGCTGAATGGACATAATTTCCTTTTCTCAAGATCTTTCTCCTCCCCTCTGTTTTCATTAGCTAAATCTGCTTACTGACTCTGACCTACATTTGCAATAGTTCCAGAATGCAACAGAACTGCATTTCTGGGGAATTTGCTATTTGCTAAAATTTTTAAGCCAACTCATTTGAAAGTGTTATGTGCTAACTGAGCAAACACAGCAATCAGAAAAGTATACAAACCCATACAATTGTCCTGGACTTGTTTGCAACACACTGCTATTAATGAGCATCTGGGATGAGTATGGTATCTTGTACTATGGATCTCATGATCTGTACAATAATGGCTGATTTTAATTGACTTTTGCTTCATATAGCAAATCCCAATTGGAGAAGTTCCAGGATGCTGCTAGTGAAGAACTGTGGGCGGGTGCATGTTTTGAAGTGATGGTAAACATTGTGACATATACTGTGTGTACCACATATTCTCATATGCACATTTTGACTTTTGTTGCCTTGGCTTTCACACAGCATTTCTAACATAGACATTCCTATTTGCCAGTTTGAGTGGAAATCTGTTAATATGTGAATACTACGCCGGCATGTACTACCATCGCTGGACTTTCAGTACTTTTCTCCCATGAAACACCCAGCCCTGTGTGCTCAGAGGGGCTCTACAGGACTGTGGCATCTGTGTGAGCAAGACTGGTAAAACTGGCAAATGAGGAGTGAGGAGAGTTACTAAGAGATGCCCTGACTTTGAGAACTTGTAACTCAGCTCAAGCGTGGTCCACCAATTTCCAGCATAAGCAACATCACCAAGAAGGCCTCATTCTTTTACTGCCATGAATTCTTTCTTCCTTTCAAGAGATGCTGGTAACTAATGTCAAGTTTGGTCAAGCCATTTTAGAATTTAAAATACTATGGGTATTAAAATACCTTTAAAGGTCTGGGACTAAGAGCCAGATTATCTGTGTGATGTATGTAAAAGATTAACCAACCCTTTTGCTTGAATTGAAATTTGTCCTGAATCCACAGTGACTCTTTGGGAACCTGGACTCAGCCAAGATTTGCACAAGTTTTTTTAAATCTGATGCATTAAAAAAGTCACCAACTACACATCCCATCCTTCCTGACTGCAGTATCGTGTGGCCAATATCAGACTAACAATTTGGTTTGGGGCTCTTTCTAGAAAGACATTTGCATCACATACAGCAAAGCTACAAGGTATTTATAGACACTGAAGCTACATGCATCCTCTCCCTGGCAATAAGGTGCCCAGAGCACAGGGAGGGT